TAATAATTAATTACTAAAACTAATGTAATGTGTTGTGTTTATTTAAATAACTAAGATTATTCGTCATAGCTTAATATTTCAAATTAAAATAGTAAATGCAATGATTTCACAAAAACCATTTACATATATTCGCAAACGTTAGCGGAAGTGACACAGTAGTCTGAAAGCCATTCAGGAGGAAGATTATCTAATTACAAGTGCGAGTGATAGTCTGAAATAAAGTAGGAACAGTGTTTGTGGGTGTATTAATAGTTAAATGAAAATGGAAGATGGATAAGCTGACTGTTGAAAACAGTGATTGTGACGTCAGTATTGCGTCACACTTCTTAAAAATCAAATGTGACAAGGTTCTTCAACATATACATACATGAAATATATATATTTCAGTAATATGAATCTATTTAATTTCTGAAATATAGAGGTATTGTTCTTTGTTTATATGAAGCTAAATTATTTTAAAAATCAGAAAAAGTACATCAATTAACTGAAATAATGAATTCATTACACACCATATTTTTCATATAAAGTGTGTCATGCATGACATATATGTTTATTTTTTAAATTAAATATTAGTCTGATTTCTGTGTACTCAACTGTAACAGTTTTGTAATAACACGTACAGGTATTTTTTCGCAAGGGTCAAACTATATTTGCTTTAAATTCTACGTGGTATTATAAATTGGGTAAAGTATTACTTTATAAATGCCTATTTTAATAAGCATATTTTTATTTGATTTCATTTATCATAAAGTACTTAGATGTTTGCTATAAAGACTAGTGACGTATATTTTTGCATTTTTACAAATACTTAAAATTACATTTTTGTCAAGTTTTTACGAATAAACGTCATCCGTCAATCTGTTTAGTAGTTAAATGGGAATATATGCATGGGTCAACGTATATAAAAAACATAAATTGAAAAGCATAACTCATTATATTAATTTCCCAAGGTGAAGATCAGCAAAGATTTCATAATGTCGTTGTGTAGTAAAAAAGTTAGGATAATATAAGTGTTTTACAAAATGCAAAACTTTTAACCACTGATAACAATCTCAAAGTTATATTCTTGTTTCTGGCAGAAAATTTATATAATCTTTGTGATTTATTTTGGGTTAATTTATTATTTTCTAGTTCTAGATTGAAAAATGGTCTCTGAAATTACGCTAGGGTTCTATACGACTGTATAAACATATATATCATAATAATCATCATCATTTCAGCCGAAAAACTTCCACTGCAGGACATAGGCCTCCCCCAAGGATCTCCACAACGACCGGTCTTGTGCCACCCGCATCCAGCGGATTCCTGCGACCTTCACCAAATCGTCGGTCCAACTTATTGGAGGCCTACCCACGCTGCGTCTTCCGTTTCGTGGTCGGCACTCGAGAACCCGTTGGCCCCATCGAGCATCGGTTCTACGAGCGATGTGCTCCACTCATTGCAACTTAAGTGTTGCAATATTAATATGGTAATGCTATAATTTATATAATTCTGATGACCCTATACCTATAATCACTTTTTAGACCTCCCTTGAAATTATTTTTAGACATTTTTTGAAACTTTGATGCCTAAAATAACTGTGGTTTTAACTAAAAACATTATTTTTAAAAAGGAGTGCTATCTTTTGAAATTTTTTTGTTTCTCTCTTATCTCAGTATCTGTATATTGCTTGCCATAGTTAATAACTCTATAATGAGTGAACTTGGAGTACGTTTCTCATTTGCATTTAAGTTATACAACTTTGAAACTAAAAGAATGTTAAGTAAGTTAGTCGCAGACGGCTTTGTAACTTTTAACTAACACGATAAGGTATAACTTTGTAAGAAACTTGTCTAAATTTAAAGCACAGAGAAAATTAAGTTTTACAAATCACCATTGAATTAACATACATTGTGTTAAATATTTTAAAAGATCCTTGGCTCGGGAGTTCTATTAAAATGTTGAAAGAGCTATTCAAATACGTTAGAATAATATATATGTATGAGAAATATTAACTTATGCTATTTTTATATACAAACTATATCAGGAATTTTTAGACTATAAAAACAATTAAAATAAAGTAACAAAATAGGTACGAAATGTGTAGGCCAAGCTATAAATCGACTTCTGTAACCTTTATAATAACTAGGTAGCAATAATAAAAGTTAAATTTGTTGAATCCGAACCTGTGCTTGAATAATGTTTATTCAATGACGAATCACGTGTAATAATGCAATTAGTAGATACTAATATCTTAAAACTACACTATAAAATGAACCTAACATAAACTTATAATAAACAAATACTTGTACATGATAAAGTTAGTAACTATTTCAATTAGAACTTAGGGTTCGTGTGAATTTCAAATCAAAATACTTAAGTGTCGTATTTCAGGCAACCTCGAATTTGATTCAGTCTAAATTATAAGAATAGAATTCTATTTTAAGGTTTTCTTGAAAAGAAAATGCTGAAAACTTTAATATTAACAATAAGTCTTATTCTTTACTACTCCGTGGCATCAATTTTGTTTATCTAGGTTATGTAAGTTTGTAAAAGACATGTGAATATTGCGTGCTGAAATTAAAGGAAAATGTTCATAAAAATCTATCTTTTATGTCATGTGCATTACATACACTACAGGGTATTCCGGGATACATTACAGTTTCTCTATTATTTGTTTGCCTTATTTTTATCAGAAATTTTTATCGAAATCAGTGTGTAATTTTTTGCGAAAATATTACAAATATCCATATGTCCATACATACATGCGTCCAAATTACTTAATAAATATACTATACGAGTTTTTAGATCCAAAATTATTGTTAACCTTAAATTTCCTGCAGTTGGAAAATTTAAAAACAACCAGATACAATCTCCATTACTCTAAAGTGAGTGCGAAATCGAATACGCTTTAACATTCTATTTTCTCGGATTGTTTTTACAAAAGTACTTGTTTCATAATGAGGGTTTATCTGAAGTGAAAATTTTAGACAGAAATTGCTACATTACCATATAAAATACAAAATGAAAGAATGTTATGAAATTAAATGGGAAATACCACACTACATAAAATGTTAAATTTTCTTGAACGGTAAAAATTAATACATTTCAAACGAATACAATTATTTTATTTATCTTAACCCTTAGCCACCTACCTACAAATTTTATTACACAGTCACCTACCTCCCGCCTGGGAGACACCTGTACTCTAAATCAAAGATTTTTGTAAATTAGGAGTTCAGTTACAATGAAATATTTTCTTTACGTATTTGAATGTTTTATTAAAAGAAAATAAACATAAAGTGATCAACTATACCTACTATAAACTCAACTAAAATGAACAACACTTAAACTTTGGCATATTTAAGCCTTACTTACGTTGACTAAACTTACGTTCTTAGAAATATAAAAATAAATGGAAATAGGAACTTCAAAATGAACTTTTCTTATCTTTTAACATTTACTAAATATAGACATGAAACATTTAGAGACAAATAATAAAAAAATAAACAAAATTGCAGACTCTTAACCTACAGCTTTTCACGGCAGTCAATGCACGGCTTGTTCGAGCACTCGAGGCAGATTGGTCTCTTACATTCGAAACATATGTACTGGGTCCTGCGTTTCTTTTTAGGATCACAAGTTGAGCATGTTTTTCGTGTTGTGAGTACTTCTTCACCACGTTTGGTACTAGAAAGCACTACTGGTTGACTGGTTACTTCGTCATAGTGATCCACTGCATTCTTCCAGTACGTGTTGAACCTCCAATTTCAGTGTCGTCATCGCTACACTCATCGTTCGGTATATGTTCTTTATCCTATATGTTATCTTCTAACCAGCTTTCAATAATGGTATCGTTTAAAGCCTTTTTCTACTTAAGCCAATTAAAAAAAATTGTCACACAAACACCTACCATCCGTCACTGAGACACTCGAAGATAGATTTTTACTTACCAGGAAAAAATGGCGCGCAGCTCCGACCTCGATAAGCACTTGCGCAACACTGATCAGTGCGAGGGAAAGGTACAGGAAAGCACAGGTTCGTAAGATACATACACAGCAAAATATTTACGACTTTAAAATCGCTTCCGTCTGTGAGACGGGAGGTAGGTGGTTAAGGGTTAAAATTTATTGCCCTTTCATACAATCAAATAAATACATATGTATTAAAAGATGACAGATAACAAACACAATAGATTCATTTAGTTCATAAAGTCAATTACTCATAGATTTAGTATTAAGACACAAAAATCTCAGTTTGAAGGAAATTACGACGCTCACAAACATCATTTACGAAAGGCGGTTGCAGCGAATCGTTCCACATCGCTTCATTGGATTCATACTTTTGTAAACAACCGTGACCTATACAACATCGGTGAAACGTAATCCAATTTCTACTCTCATTTAAAACATATTCTACACTGCTATACTGCTATATACGTTACTGAAATATTTTATATTGCGATATTTATATAAAATTGTTAGCGTTTCGAGAAATTACTATCAAATACTAGTTTTTCCTCACTGTTAGACTTTTAATCGAAAAGACTTCATGAATTTAATGTAGCTTGATTTAATCAGTTGTTATTTATAGAAAATGTTAGCTCATATAAAATTTTAAGCATTTCACAATTCAAGTTTCACTTTTATAGTATTGTATTATTTATAGGAGATAAAGTATCTCAAGAAACATTTGATCGTATACTTCTAATAGTCATTACAATTTGTCTAAATAATAAGTGAATTTCCTTTAATATTTCTATAAAACTTAACGCAATACAAAAAGTGAGTTCTACTTCACCGGCCAATGATCTTTACTTCATTTTAGTTTTTTTTTATTTATTTATACAAGACCGCTAGTTATATTAAAATACTTCTCACTATTTTTACTACATTTAATGGGTCATATTGCGAAAGCTAAGCTTGCAAATTTATAATGAAAATTAGAAGCGGCAGTTTTGAACAGGCTTGGAGGGGTTTATCGCAAAGACTCTCGCTACTGATCACCCAGTCGTTAGCAAAATGAGGTGGATTGTGGTGTTTTGTACAGTGAACATAGTTTTTGCCCAAAATATTAGTGAAAAAGGTAGGTTATAAGTAAAAATTGATTCAAATATCTAGACATTTACTAGAATTTATTATAAATTACAAATGATTTTAGTGACGCGAATATTCATTCCGATTTATCCTTATTTAGTAAAAAGTATATTTTAATAAAAATTTTAACATTATATTCAGAAATTTTCATCAATACAATTTAAATTTTAAACCAAAGGAATTTATTTAATTACAATATTTTATAATTAAAATAATAACTTTTAATGCAATTGAAGAAATAAATATTTCTTGTTTATAGTTTAATTTGTTTTAGATGCACATAAGTATTTAAAAACTAAATGGGAAATGAGTAATGTTGATCATTGTATCAATATTCAAAACAAAAACAAAAATTTTAGGCGTCTCTTATCTAAGAGGTCATTCACCTACCGATTTACTTTCAAATTATCTAACAGAATATTGTAAAGATCTATTATATTATAATGGAATAGTTGTTCAAAAAATATTTAATTTTAATTACATACAAAAATACACCTATTCATACAAGTTGTCTATTTTTCTTTACAATTTAATTTTGATATTATCAGTTCTAAAGAAAATAAATGTATTAATCTTTTTAAATCAAAACGCTTAGTTAATTAATGTTTTATGTATATGTAAATATATAATTTGTATTTCCTGTTTACCTTATTGCTTTTATTATAAATACTTAGCAATAAAAACTCTGTGATAATTTTTTGGTGATAATTATCATTTATCTTCAGTTTAAATTAAACATTTTCATCATATTAAGACCCTATTTACAAAATCATAAATATTCTTACGTAAAATAAAATTTTACAATACATAAAAATATATCCTTTAAGTACTTATACAATGACGTCAAGGTTTGTAATTAATTATAACGATAATTGAAAGTTATTGAAGTAATAATTAACGTACGTAGTATAGTGAAGAATCGAATTTAATGACATTATAATTGCATAGCTGCAAAGCTAATTTCTTTAATATTACCTATATTCCTTATATTATATAGAGTATAATACAGTCTTTTATATAACATAAATAAATATTATATTTTTCTCATACGTTTATTTTTAAGATAAAAATATACAATGTCATTCAAATACAAATATATGATACATGCAAATTCATAATAATTTATGTTCCGTATAAACAGTTTATTTACTATTTTGAAATTATACCATATTAAAGATAAAAGCATTAGAACTTAGACATATCATTTTATTTAATATCGCCTTACCAGAAGTACCCAGTTAGGCATGACTTCACCAGAATTGTAACTGCTTGCAAAACTTAGTCCCTTTCTAGACTAGTTTGTAAGATAGTTATGAAATCGTAAATGTTTACTCACAACTTGCAATTTTTAAGCGATGTTTCGCTGATAAAAAATGAAAATAAGTAATAGTTGGTCAAGTGGAGACAAAACCACTGATATAATTTTTTTTTATTCGATTCAAATTAAAATTTAACACGCTTTACTTTATGTTTTCGACACATTAATTTAAATAACAAATTACAAATAATTTATGTCAGTTATATAAAACATTTTATATTTAAAAGACAGGTGATTACAAAGGATATGTCGTTTACTTTATGGTGTCCCATATATAGTTAATAATTAATGAAATAAAAATAATAAATTCGAATTGAACTAGAGCTAAAAAAAATTATTTAGTCTTTCTAATATGAATAGTTGTTTAAATGAATTCATGTTAAGGTGTTAGTTATCATTATGAATAGTTGTAATTTTTTTAACTATTGAATATAAATTGTTTTCGTGTTATAATTTGAGTAACTAAAAACTTAGTTAGAATTCCAATCTATTAGCTCTTGCATACAAACTCATTGCCTTAGCATTGGAAAAGGAAATCGATTAACTCATGGGAATATTCCTTGAGTTGTTAATAAAGCTTACTTCCTTAATGTGTTGTGTAGCATCCTTTCATGCTAAAATGAACAGTATTTTTAATAAAGATTTACGCGGTATATAGGGGAATTGAGTGACAAATTTCCTTACAAAATTTTTCAAGATATTGTTTTTAACATTAATTGAAATTATTATTTTACATACCATTGACAGATTCTGCATTAAAACTAAATATATAGATAGAATTTTTTTTTATTATTATACTATCCATTTATATAGCGCGATACATGTTCCCTTAATATATTTTGCAAGATGCAAATATTAAGAATTTTATCTTAAAATTGTTTTCTTTTTATTGCTATACAAGCATTTTTATCCAAGAGTACATAAATCATTGGAAAAATTACATTAATATTAAGCATAATTACAAAATATATGTTACTCAATAATTATATTTTCAGTATAAAAATAATATATAACAAATATATTGAAAACAATCTCATCAAAATTTTGTATGAATCCAACCATACATATTTATTTATTTCAAGTAATAAATAATGATATAAAAATATTTCGTATAAATTGTTCAAATGTAAAATTTATTTATTTATACATATATTTATTAATTTAATTTTTAACATTTTTTTTTATTATGTTAAATACTTTTATGTAGCCGGGAATGTTAATCTAGATATAGTAGTACAAACAGGGTTTCATAAGACCTGTTATTTCCAAATGCCATCGTGATCAGGTGTAATTATTGCACGAAGCCTAAATAAGCGTTATTACTGTATTATAAGGTACATTTTTCTTTAACACTACAATTGATACGAATTGAACAATAAACAGCATTCCCTTTTCGAGTTTAAATATTAAAAATATAACTAAAATGAATCAATAACTGGTTTTGATTTTATGATTATACAAAAATATGTTCCCTAGATTCTGTCATGATTATTTTGTATGAAAAAACACATTTATAAATGTGTAGATATTAATCGTGATTCTAACATGCTCGTTGCAAAAAAAAATCTATAAATTGAATAACCTAATTTTGAAAAGTTGAAAACGCAGCGCGACGGGATATTGCATTAAATGAATAAGGATGTTAAGAAATTCGCATTTTAAAAACGACTAAAACTGTAAAATGAATTTCTACTTATATATAAATCACGTTTTATTACTAATATCGGTTATCATTTAAAACTAATGAGAATTAAGTGCTCATTACAGAGAAACTATGACATTTTTTTCTTTTATTTTCCGTCTAATGCAATTAATTTTTCCTCGTTAGTCTCTCACGTACCAAAGGTAAAAGTTATAAGTCTGAGTATACCCGTTATTTACCTTACTCATGTTTGATATATCATCTTTAAATCGATTTGCAAAGTTAGCTGCTTAATAGCAAACTGCATTAATAGTAAACTAATGTCACAGTTTGCTAAACATTGAGTAAAAGTAGTTATCGTGGTCATATTGCATACGCTTACGTCATATTACTGAAGAAAACTTTTTAACAAAAAGGTTTCTTAATATAAAAATCTACTTAACCATGTTTATATAAAATGAAATATATATTTTTATTTGTTAAATTTTTATTTTTACTACTTCAAAGCCCATTAGAACATTATGTTGTATATTAATCTTTAGGTAATAACAATATTTCTGGAACTCTTTTTTTCAGGGCACTGATTTCTTTTGTTCTAAGAATAAATATTTCAAGGACAAACATCTTTTAGCATGAATCTATAAATGATTGATGAGTTGTTTATGTTATATAATTAAGGGTGACTTACGTTTTGATTGGAAACTAGAATACAAAACTGCAATATTACTAATGGATAGCTTTATAAAATATAACACATATAAAATATGTATTTATTAAAACAATTTCAATAATTTTGTTAAAAAAAATATTACAAGGTATAATTTTCTTAGAATATGAGATATTAGACTTTCGCGAGTATTCATTTCAGTAAAACCAATATTTTTCGGATTACGACGCGTACCAGATAACATCTTGTCTGCACTCGATTACGGTTGCTGAAAAGTAACCGAAACGTAGACTATGTAGTTTTTAAATTAATTATTAATATACGTGCAGTAATTCAAAAAATATTATTTCCATGTCTTCGAATACTTTTTAATATTACCACCAATTCCACATAACCGTCTCAGTCGAATCCTCAGGCACTTTGTATGATTTTCCATTGGAATGCTTTTACAAATAGTAGTAATCTAAAATGGTTTTCAAGCGAACCAAATCATTTTAATTCTACTCATAATATATTTTTCAAAGATGGAACTACAGAAGCAACGTTCGACTATTATTCAATGCCTGTACTCTCTCAGTTGGATGATTTCGATTTGTGCCTTCGGAAACCGAAATCAATCTACTGTATCGTAGACTTTGAACTTATGGAAGATGAAACACCTCTATACAAATATATACAGGTATAGTGTAAATAACATTTGTGATGAGAAATCTAACATTCATAGATTAACTAATTATATATGATCAACATTATTAAAACTACACAAATAACCGTAAGTGTAAGCCTGAAAACAAAATAAATAGGCAAAATTTTAACCCGGATTTTAGGTTGTAAGGTTTATATTTTATTGTATAATTTTTTTTATTATATTTTAAAATTATTACAGTAAATTTTGAATATTACAATAAAGCTATACAATTGTTCTTATATAACTTGGAATTTATTATTTTAGTATTATAGTATTACTAACCCAATGTTCCAATTGCTGCACAGTAATCGTGATCACTGGAAGACGAAATATTTGTGTTTTTCACATTATAATAGTTATATGTAATAGAAGTAGAAATAAAAACTTTATTCATAATAAAAAAGGAATAGTTTAAGTTATTAGTAATGTATAATTAATCTCTTTCAGAACTTTTCGTCTCTAACTTATAAGAACTACAAGCATTCAAAACTGCACAGAGGAGTCTGTGGGGACAAATGCGGTCTTAACTTTACACACGTAAACGTTACTGATACACTTGTGAGGAATTTGAAGAAATGTTTCAATCAGACTATCCACGATAAATATGGTTTACAGGTAAATATGTATACTTGTATTTTATTGTAAAGTAGTTATTTATGTAGACTCCGCAAGTATTTTAAATCAAAAATGTACCAAAAGGTATAATTCAAAAACATTTGAATATATTAAAAAGGACATATGGGCATAATTAAGTTTATTCCAGAAATTTATTGACCTATAATGTTCTTTCTATTCAATCACCTTTGTTAACAATTAGATTTTTAAATATTTTAAGCCTCTTATGAAACGAGATATTCACAATCAAGTTTAAGTTAAAATTAAATACTATATTAAAGCAGCTTTTTATTTACAGGTCAATACATTATCATTAAGATACTGTAAAACTCAAAAGGACTTTATCCCAGTGGATTCACTAGATTATATTTTGGGTACCATTTTATTATTAATACTTCTGGTCAACCTTGGATGTACTGCGTATTATTTCTTTTGGCATCCACAGAATGGGAAAGGTTCGGGTTTTTGGTTAACATATTCTTACAATTTTACCATTATATTTTATGATAGCCCACAAAACACATAAAATTTGGGTGTTTTAAAAAGTTGAATCAATATATAAAAAATTATCAAGTAAATATAACATAATTTCTTGTTTATATTAAATTAATTTGAGCTTAAAATTTGATCAAAATTAATTTTGTTTTATGTATCTTATGTATTATTAATACCTAATTTTATTTTAATATAGAATGTTTGTAATATCATAGTTTAGATTGCTTTATCTAAATTTAATTTAGCGAAGCTCTTTAAATTTAATTAATATAATACATACCGCTTTCTAAAATACCATTCGCGATATTTTTCATATACATATTTAACACGTGAATCCAGTTTTATTGCAATTATATGTATGATTGCTTTTTGAATTACCCAACCTTTACACCGGATACTATAAACAAATAAACATATTTGGACTTTTAATTATAATGGAAACGAAATTGCTTTTCGATAAATCAATCAGTCAGTCAGTCGGTAGTATTTATATTTCAGTTTTGTAAGCGAAAATATTGATGTCATTCTATTTTTATTACAAACAAACTCATAAACCACATTACATTTGTGCATAAAACTTTTTTGGACGTGGTTTTACTATTTAAGTAATCTAAATAACGTACTGTAACTGCTTTAATACTTAAAAAGGAGATATCTCTTAGATTTATATTACACGATACTATTTCAGAAAACAGATATATATTAGCTTTTTGCGTACAAAAAAATTGGAAGGCTTTAAAATATGGTGGCAGCGCTGAAGGTGGAATCTTCAAATGTTTTCAAGCAATGAGGTAATAAAATTTTTAATTCATGTGATAAATTTCTATAAAGGAAATTGTTATGATTTCCTTAAAAAGTATGTTTAAATCAAAATTATTTTTGGGAGGTAGATGAGAAAACATGCAAGCTCAGCTACAAAAAAGATTTTAGGCTAACTGAATTTTACTCAATTGTGCGTAAAGACAATATATAAAGAGATAGGATTCATTTTTAATATTCTACTTATGAAGTTATAACTGAAAAGGGTTTTGGATATAGTCGTACATAGCCATCACATAAAATTTTATGTTTTCAATATAAAAAGTCATAGAAGGGGTTGAGAGCTGAGTTTGTATATATCAAGGTTTTTTCATCAAATTTCGTTGCTATATTAAGCCAAAGTGCAAATAAATAATTGTAGGCAGATTATATGGTAGAACCAACATTATTAACTATGCACAGTTGTATAAAAATTTTCTTTTGTTTTTTAGGTTTTATACAATGGTTATGATTCTTGGCCTTCACTCTATGATTTTCATCGGTTACGGCTACACTGAAAATCCTGAGTTCATAGAAAATGTGAGTAGAATTGATGTAACTTTAAAATTTAAATTGTCCGTAAGCAGTTATATATCATACTAGCCAACGGTCAATGACTGCGTTTTTGGGCGGGAATAATTTTCAAAGTACACATTTTTAGTAGTTGTCATTTTCAAACCTTAGAAACTGTTTTGTTTTTATCAGAATTTTTAATAACAAAGAAAAATCATATATTAGAACAATATTAATATAATTCCCCAAAACATATTCATAGTTTTCATATGAATACTAGTAATATTTTCAAATGAATTTATTGCTAAATCGACTTCAATGATAATAATTACTATATTCAATAATTGATCAAATTCTATTAAACTTGTAAATTTGCAATTTACAAATTGCGATTTTAACCAAACCACCAAATGGTATAACAAAATTTAAACGCTGAATAGTAACAGATCAAACTGATAATTACATATATGCGTCTATAATTTATTGCTCACACCTCATTTCGCCTAATAGGTGTAATTAGGTATCACACGATAATATTAGAAGCAAATAATAATTTACGACCCTGAATATGGGTATTAAATCAGTTAAATATTGTACAAATAGATAAATGAAATTGTAACTTCTTGAATAAGAATATGATCAACAAAATACTTCGTAAATAGCATTGTTAGCATTTTTTTCTTTTAAATCATACATCATTTGAGACAAATCAAATATAACCCTGGGCTACATACCAGTGCCAAAATTATATCCTATTGAATTAAGATCTGAATATAGAAAAAATATTTCCTTTTCATTTATTCAATTGATGTATACAACGCATAACGGGGGGTCTTTTATGATCCAATGAAATATGGCGTCACTCAGTGGTAGGGGACTTTCGTCAAAACGCTGAGGTATTCAGATAATATAAGAGGGATGTACAAGTGTAAGACTGTTTTAGGATATAAATGCGATTAAACAGTCGCAATATTTCTGTCAAAGGCTATAAAATATTACGCTACGTAATAAAATTTACTTGTTGTAATTACATCTTCTTTTCCTAAATAATCAACCCACACTACATTTAAATAAATAAAACATATATGTATATTAGGACACACAACCTGATATAAAATGTATTATAACAGAATGGCTATTATAGAAAACAACTGTTTTATAACTCTTTTACCGACAAATCTCATTAAGAATTTCAAGTGTATATTTATGAGTGATTTTGATAATTATAACAACGGGAAAGTTTTGACTAGCACCTTGTATTACTACATACTAGGATAAAATTACATAGTATATTAGAAAAAAAATAATATAAATTAAATTAATCGCAATAAATGTATATGTATTTTTTTTCTAAAAAAACGAAATTTGTCTTGAGGTTGTACGCTCAGATTTCAATGTTAATTGAGCACCCTACTTCACAACCTTTGTTCCATTTATGGAGTATCATGAAATATTTTATTTATATGCACGAAAAATATGCTTTATATTCGTCATATTCAACGGCACTGTGATTGTGATCAGGGCTACTTTGAAATTGTGAATAAAGTTATATCTTTGACAGTAACTACACAAAAATGTGAATATAAACCAAAAAATATCAAACTCTTTTTTATTCAACAACACACTAACTAATTTGTTTAACTTAGTTCATTTATTAAAATACACTGTATAAAGTGTATATAGTTATTATTATTTATCGAACAAAAACAATCGAAATAAATAAATTTTCTGCAATTACAAAAATATATATTGTAATGATAACGAAATAGTGTGTCTAATAAATCATAGGTTGACCGAGCTGTGTTGTAATTCGCTTGCAACTGCATTGCATGCAATAACATTTATTTTAACATCCGATCTAATAAGTAAGTATAAACACATATGTACATGTATATGTACGTGGGTAATTTATAAAAAAGATTGTATTTCATAACTGCAACATAACAAATACCATTATTAAATAAACTAAAAAATAGGAATAAAAATGTCAATTCTTTAACACAAATTTATTTTACTAAAATTATGTACTCTAAATACAAAAATGACATAAACGAAATAAAATCTCAATTAGAAGAAAACCAAACAAACTTGTGTAGCTCACGATATAAATAATATTACGTTAAGCGGAGATTTGATGAATAAAAGTCTACTTTACTCGTGTATAGGAGTAAAAAAATTTAAAGTTTTCTCTTCAAAAAACACCTTTTTAAATATGTTCAAAATAATTTGTAGTTAACGCGGTCACAACACTACATGCAGTGTCGTTAGTGGTGGTTATGTGTAGTTATTTAATTTTAGTTTACTTTTTTGCAGTATTCGTGAAACTTTAATACATTATGAAATGTGCAATATAAAGTGGTGTGTCATTTTAAGCAAATTATTGCATTATATACGAGTACTAACTATTTTTAAACATTGAACTAAAAATGAAATAGTAGTATGTAGTAAAAATAACAATTACTTATTAACGCAATGCTTTTAACGAACGAATATTATTTTAAAATTTAGGAAAATAAAATAAACAAAATGTTTATGGATGCGTCTGTTTTTATATAAAAACCTATTTTGAAAATCAATTAATCTGTAGTAATCTATATAATATCTATTACTTTAATATTAATATAAGGAGGAGACAGTCACAAGGAACCATCTTAATACATTTGATCATTTATATATTTTTTCAAGGCGAATGAATTGGTTTACTCTTGAAAACAATATTCAAAGGGCTATACTTAGTGTTATTGTAAAATTTTATTAAATTAACAACAATATATAGCAGTAACTTTATTTTTTTTTATGGGTTATTGGTCTTGAAAACAAACTTTTTTTTCGATTGCAGTCTTATGATGACTTCTTCAAGGCCCTTCTTTTCAATGCTCGGGTGATCGTTCAAATTTTCTTCGTCATGGGCGGTTTCCTTATGGCTTACAAAATGCTGCTTTATGCTGAAAGTCATCCGTTCACACTGAAGACCGTTCCCATGGCTATTGTTAATAGATGGCTCAGGTAAATCAAATATCACATTAAATTAATTCACTTTCTACCGCTTGTAGGACCTGTTATATAAATATTTACCTGTTATATAAATAGTAATGCGATTAAGTCATACAGTATGTACTATATATGTATAGGTCATTAAAAGCACGAAAATTTTTAAGCGAGAAAATAACAAATTTTTTAATAATTTTCTTATATTTACAAAAGGTTAATCATATAACAAACATCTCATTAAAAGTAAGTACAAAAAGAGATAAAAGTGAATTAAAGAGTATAAAGGAATTATATGTTAACATCAAATTTATCGTAAATACAATATGTTCCAGGTTAATGCCAGCAGTTTTAGTTGTGATGGCTCTTGCCATGACCTGGGTACCTCATATGGGGTCAGGTCCTATGTGGGATGCCGTAGTGAAACGCGAACGTGACATATGCAGAAAGAATTGGTGGCAATTAGTGATTCTGATGCCAAATTTGTTCCCATTTGAAAATCTTTGTTTACCACAGGCTTGGTATGTTTTAATTAAGACATTCTTTAATTTAGTTTAAGTTCATAACTGCTTAAAGATCTGTTTTTATTAACAAAATATGTATATACGCGAAATCATTCAAATCATACTAAGAAAAAATATTAAGTACAAGACATAATATGCCGCAAATGAGAGCTCGCAATTTGGGAATGACGTTTAAAAACAAGACTACACTCAAAGACTCAACTTTTATACAAACTTCGCCATGAATAAATAATTTTCTCGGCATCTTAAATTGTATATAAAGCGGTACTACGACAAACACAAATAACGCGCCATTGTTATTAACTCTGTTATTAGTGTCGGTTAAAACAAAGTTTCGAAATAATTAACTGTTGGAACGAACTTTGAAATATGCTATTATATTAATTAGCGGTTTCTCGAAAATAAATGACAATTTTATAAAATTAGCATTACACCTAGACACTGAGCAAAAATTTTAAACACAAATGGTGTGAATATTTTTGTCTGAAATTTTAAATACAATTTAATTTAATACACTTACATTTAAATAACAAGCATTCTACGACATTAGAATATGAGATGCCAAAGACTTTTTTACAATTACCGTGCAAAATTTATAGAGTGTTCATTTGTATGTTTAAAATATTTTTTGTGTCTCTTCTACATAACGGTGCAATGTAGACAACAAAATTTATTACATTCGTTTTAATAATACAGTCTTATAAAATATTTTGATGTACAATAACTCTGTGTCTTCGTTTAGAATACTTAAACTATTACAAGATACCTTTATTTTTCATACTATAATATTAAATGAAAGAAGCGTTGGAACACGTTACGGAACATAGCTAATAGATTGTCATGTTCAATATTATATTATTTGTTTACATACATCACTAAAATTTGGAAAGCGTTGTTAAAAGTAAAGAACAAAAAACTAATATGTTAATATAGTATACACAACGTTAATGTGCTGATATGAAATCGTATACACAATGAGAAATCTAGGCTAAAAAAACATTGAGTAAAAATAAATCTGATGTCCTCCAATGAAATTGCTCTGTAGGTTCACTTTAAAATTACGCAAATGGTACGTGTTTAAATGCTTTTATTGTCACCTTTATTCTTGGCAGTTTGTGTATTATAAATATAAGTACTAACAATTGTAACTTATATTTTAATATGGTTATTTAATTATTTGAATTGTGGTATGACAATTTGTTTTGCACATTTTATCATTGCAATTGAAATATACTTTTGAAAATGACTTCAAATAAATGAATAAATAATTTTTTTTTATGGAGCTTTTTTGATATTTAATTCGTTAAAAATGTTTAAAGTGTATACTAAATCTAATTATTTACTGTGTTCGAGCACACTTGGTAAAGTTTATATATAAGAGATTATTTAACTTCTCAGATATGAGTTTCAGATAAACTCTCGGACTTTATCTCGACAATTTAACTTAATGCAAGCCGTAACTTCGTCAGTTAGAATTTCGTAAAACCATTTAATTATTACAACAGACTTTGTTAGACACTGGTCAGGCTGTTTGAATATCAACCATTTAGTCGATGTATTTGCTCTAAAAAGTTTGTTTTTTTTATACGTATAAATTTGATGAAGTAATTTAATATATTTTTTAATAAATAATGTCTCTGGTATGGCATTCATTTAACTTCTTTGAAACCATTTAATTCTAACAAAAACAAGACAAATCAGAAATAATATCAATCATTGGAATATTTTACATAATAAATTTACTTCTATAAATATCGTCTCATTCTTTCAGGTATCTTGGTACAGATACACAGCTGTTTTTCGTAACTCTCATCGTTTTGCTCATAATCTGGAAGTGGCCAAGATTTGGAGCTCCTGTTCTCAGCGCCGTGATGATAATAAGTCTCATTATTCCATTTTTGCAAAGCTATTTTATGAATCTACTACCAATACGAGTTAGCATTTTCCCTGAGTAAGTTGAATAAATATTTGTTTCTGAACAAATTTCCCTACTATTTAATCTATACTTACCAAAAAGAATTCTAAGATATTGCACATAAACATCAAAGGTTCTTGCTTCGTGTAGACACGAATATGCAAACACGGAAAGTGTCACTTTTATTTTATTGCTTCCATATTCTTCTCTATTCATTTTTCTTATTTTTTTTTATTTAGTAAATAAAATTTGTTTGAAGAAACGAAAAATTTATACTCATATTGATATGATTAAAAAATTACTACAACAAATGCTTTCCATTAATTCTCAAACCAAACAGAAAGATTATCCAAAACATACATTTAATAGTGAGACAGTAAATTACCTCGCAATACGTAGGCTTATGTGTCGATAAACAAGATTAATTATATCTGCGTCACACTATTTAAACTGAATTTATTCCTTTTTAATTTGAAATTTAATCAAAACTGTTATGTTTCGATGATTGGAGGCTTTTAAGAAACTAATATTAACTTTATATATGTAATTTGAAACATAGAATACTAGGAGGTAGAGGCACTTCTAAAAAGGATATTTTTACAAGCCAATACTAATTCAGTTTTTGTTTTTTTTTTTATGTAAAAAGGTCAAAGAAAATATTCAAACACACTGTCGAATAGGGAATTATAATAATTTAGGTATTTGTCCTTTCACAGAACGAGAAAATACCGTAATCATCAGACCTATTACAATAGATGATTTTAATTTATTCTTTATTTTCAGGTCTATAAGAGACATTTTCGGTTACAATGACACTTTCTACCATGCGTACGTGTCTGCGCAAGGAAATTGGGCTGGGTATCATCTTGGAGTGCTCACTGCCTGGTTTTACCATAAAGCACAGACTAAGAAATGGGATTTAGGCGAATCTTGGGTAAGTAATTTACATAAATGAAATTGTAAATAGTTGGAGTTTACCCAGATTTATTCAATGGTTCCAGTCAGTTCAATATCTTTTATAGTAACTATGTTTTGGACTGTTTTAAAATTAAAAAATATAATATTATCTTCAATTAGTCATGGTTTTTAGAGCAACTTAAAAAAATATTAATCGTAAGGTATTTTATAAGATTCATTATATATAACGAAATTTGTTCTCAATTACAAACAAAATTTTACATTACTAATGTTGTAATAAAAAAAAATATAAATATTTTTATGCAATGTGTTTATAAACTGCCAATGTTATAGTAAAATATTTGTCATTCTTACCACATTACAATTATTTTGTCTTCACACTCAAACTTATACATATATTACTCACGTCAACTATGTGTCCTCGATTAAAAACTGAGAAAGGCAACCATTGGCACACGATAAAATTATTATAACATAACTTTCTGCTTCAGCTTCTCAAAGTACTCTTCATCATATCTATCCCAGTGGCGATAGGAACTGTTCTCATGGGATGGGACCTTCACCATCGGGAGGCATCAGCATTTGAAGCGGCTGTCTTCAATGCTTTGAATCAAAATTTCTTCGCGCTCGCCATTTGTGTATTCGTGATCGGATATTTCTATAGATGTAATAGTAAGTACATTCATAATAAATCCCCTATTTTATGTTAATTTTTATTGCAATTCGACTTTCTGATGATTGGAATTTTTTGTAATGTAGGTCAGAGATTTTAAACCCTTATACGTTTTAATTCTAAAACAAAACTAGTTTTAAGCAATCAAACATTTTAAAAATTATTGAAATAATTTATTTAAATACAATCAGAACAAAAAATTTTGCAAAACGATGTCACGTTTCTAATATTTAAATTATTTGCAGAATCATTTTAGTCCTTGCTTTCTATGCAAAATAGTTTCTGATATTCCTATCCCATTTCATCGGAGCCTTAACAGTATTTGGGTTTATTCAGCCATTAAAATAGATTTCCTTGAACCTTTTCACTCCCACCTTTCTAACGTAACAAAGAACGAACACGTCCTGGTATTATAACACGAATGTTTGATTCGTTAAAGATAAGAAGATTTCTTACAAATCTTTGATAACAATGAAACCTTAATGCGGGTGTAATGCTACGGTTGTGCGATCTTCAAAAGAAATAACGTCTGTGGCGTTAATGTGTTAATTTACTCGGAAGGGATGATTCTTTGTAAAACTTAGTTCATAATTTTTTCACATTTATCAGTGATTAAAAATAAAATAATTTTCTAAGAAATAAACAATAGATTAATAAATTTTATTTGACAATGTTTTTTTTAATACTATTATTGTTATTAATTTCTTGTTTATGGTTGGTATATTGCAATTTGTATACATATAACTAAGATTTTTATTTTATTGCAGATATAGACTTTCATGCCTTAGGGCCGTCTAAAGACGATTCTATAAATAGTTTAATTGCTATAATTTTATATCAGGAAATAACTTTAGTGTTATTCATATAATTTCATTCTAGGGATCTACGTTGGTGCAGTTGAATGGGGCCCATTACAACCTCTGGGTAGGTTATCCTATTGTGCTATGTTGTTGCACGCAACCGTTCTCAGAACTTACGGTGGCCAAATGAGAAGATCTTTTTATGCAACTGATTATACTGCTGTAAGTACTATATATAATATATTATACTATTGATAAAATGTTATATTCAGAAAAATATTTTTTTTATCTACATTTCTGTCTATTCTATTCCATTGTCTTCACATAGAAAATAATGTAGATGATTTTTTAATTGGTCAAGATATTGATTACTATTTTATACTTGATACAATTTAAAAACATACTAAATCTAGAAATGACCGTTACCTCGCATAATTTTTTTTATTTTTATCGTCAATCCTTGTTAAATCATTACACTTAAAGACAATCAGAACTTAATAATTATTAAATGCATGTCAATATTGGATTTAACTATAATACCGAAACAATGCATTACTCTAATTACAGTGCTAAGCAAATAATTCAGTGTTCAGTGTGTTTGTATTCAGTTAAAATAAACAGTTAAACTAATGACCTTAGGTTGTGTTTTAAATTAATATATAATTATACATATATAACACTGATATTTAGTAAATATAAACTAAACCGAACATTCGGATACAAGAAGGGAATGGCTTATTCCCTGGAGTTATTTTTAATTTCAAATTCCAATGGAAACGAGATTATACCTTCATTTGAATAGATTCGCATCTCTACTCCAGAACGGATTTTGTTGAAATGAAGTTGCATTTTTGAGCTTTGAAATTCTCAAGCTAATAAAGAACGCTTTGAAGCCTTTCAAAGCCTTTTTAACTATTTATTTGAAAAAGTAACTTATACATCTTAAAAAGTGATGTTATTTACAGACCTTAAAACATTTATATAAGTTTACTTTGAATATGTTAGTTTCGTTTCATTGAAACAAAATAGAAATGTATTTCATACAGTTCTTGACATCCGCATTAATTTTCACATAATTTTTGAATTATCATTATTTTTGAATGTATGTTATTTTTAATAGTCCAAGGAATGTATTCAATTTTTATACAAAAGAAAAACAGATTTTCAAAAGGCATTTACATCTTAATATAACATAATAAATTAAATAATATATTGTTTATATTCGTTCTTATATTTAATTAAATTTTTTTGATAATCGTAAATAAGATTAACTACCAACAACAGAATACCTAAATTTTAATTTACAGGATTAATATTTTGTTTTATAATTAACTTTTAAACTGTAGCATTGTTTGAAGTTGAAGGTTACTTTTTATTTACTGTAGATCGAACAAGTTGTAACAAAATTTAAAAGATAGACAAATTTATCTTATTGCCTAATCAATCTTATGTCCAAAACGCTCATTCAAATAAATCGCTATTCTCATTTAAACTAGAAATACTTCTATAAAATAAATTTTAATGTTGCAGATTATGTTATTCTGTGGTATTGTTTGCTCCACTTATCTTCTGTCACTGCCTCTTCACCTGTTCGTCGAAGCGCCGGCCTGTCAAATACAGAAGATTTTGTTCGGGTCTAGAAGACAAAAGAAGCAGGAGGAACACAATACAGTGACTGTTAAGCCTGGCATTTCTAATGTATCAGTGTCAACGGTTTCCACACATATTTAGGCCATACTTATGATTATTTATTATTTGTAAGCTTTTTTGTAAATAATCTTAAAATAAGAAGGGAAATGATTTTACATTATTATGTTTATTAATAAATGTATGTACCTGAAGTATGATTTATGATTTAATATTTTTATCATTGATTTTTGCTAAAAACAAAACAAAAACTTATAAAGGTACCTTATTTGTTATTATAGATTTAGCACCTACAAGCTTTTTCTTATTTGAGTCAGTTTTTTTTTATAATCTAGTATTTTTTTATTGTTACCAGAGCTAAACTCTAAATATAAATCCATGTTTGCCATTGCTTAATTTTTTACGTAAAGGTAAACTAATCTAGTTCTCGACTTTCAAAACATACTATTTTTAAAATCGTATTCAATCACTTTAAATAACAACATACAAGTAATAACAAGAAGTACTTGAAGTCCTCCTTAATAACCACAATTTAAAACGATGTTGTCAATATTTATTTAAATATCAATTAGGCAAGCAGCCAAAATGTGTAAAGCTAACTTTTATTTTTGTAGAACTTTAATAAAATCATTTAAATTAATTTTTTTATTTATTTATTTCAGAAATACTTTTTTTGTGGTATTTTTTTTTGTTTCAAGTTTCAACACATATTTTTTTACGTTAGTAAAATAAATTGATTTAAAATTTTTATAAATGCGTTTAGCCACTATGGATTTAAGAGAAATTGGAAATTTAGTCAGTAAATAAATTGTTTTAATTTTAACAGATGTTCTAATTGGTTGAACACATATTGGTTATTTAAAAAATAAAGAAAATAAATTGAAAATAATATGCTAACCATATATAATTTTCTCGCTTTTATTATCTGACCATTTCTTGTATCTCTAGTGTAAAATCATCTTTAGAGTATTCCGACGAGAGATTTGCTTAATTCATAGTGCATGAATTGACATGTCAACTACCTACATGCCCATTGATCATTGTTATACCGAATATTGAAAAATAATATATTTTTTACCTCTGATATATATTATTAAATTTTGTGGCATTTAAAACGAAGAAATATCACAAAGCAGACTGATAAGTACAATGAGTTAACCTTTTTAGCCTATTAATCTTTATATAATAAATTCTTTAAATTATCCTCAATTTAAATGAGTTAGTGCTTACGTACTGAAGTATAAATATAATAAATGGTAAAATTATTTTTATAAAGTTCTAGTAAGCTGGCTCATACTTTAATATATACAAGAATAAAATAACTCTATATGAAATAAACTTTGACAATATTGGATTAGCAAACAAGGAAGGAATCGTTTTTTCTATTATAGCATATATGGAAGACAAATAAAAGAGTATGTAAGTTATGAGACAGTTTATTTTTAGGTAATAATATTTTCACTGTTATGTTAAAACTATATTGTATTCTATTTAATGAAGGCATTCGATTCGGTGTAATAGGTGGTCTCTTAATCTTCTAACTAGACCGCATCCAGAACATGCTACATGCAGATCTCGGATAAGATTGTCAAACCTGAGCCAAACTGACTGAACGTTAGATATTATTACGTAATGGTATTATCGGTAATAATCCTAATACGATTAATATCAAAGATTTGTTTTGGTTTGGTGTTAAATGAAATTAATATTTTATATATCTACTTTTGAACTCTCAGCCTAATTTTCGTTATGAATAAACTTTTAAATCTTATAAAAAATCTAGCATTTATTTTCATTTGCAATAGTATTGTTACATTTTTTTGTATCTCATTAAGGGTCTTAGTAAATTGAAGAGTATTTGTAATATAAGGATACTTTGTAAAAATAATGTCAATACCAACATGTCTAATTTGTTTCTCCATTAGTTTTCTGACAATAATTTAAGCTATCACTCAAAAATCAGACTGCGTTCAAACGTTATCAATATATTATTGAATTCGATCTGTGGTCGCGACTCTGTCTACTCGGAATATTATTTCATAAGTGAATATTAATAAATAAAAACTATAAAATCAAAAGGTAAAATAAGGTTTTAGAGCTTAATCGAAACAAAAAACCAGTTCCTTTATTTTCTTATGTGTAGTAGGCATCTTTCAAAAAGCATTTATTAGATAATTTATATGGATGAGAAACAACTAAAATGCTATTGAAAATTGCCGCGGAAAATTATTGCAATGCAATGAAAACACAATTTAACTCAGAAGATTTCTGCCAAATTTTTAAGCAGTTTTATTATTATTGCAAAAAATAAATGTATATATATATATATATATATTTAAATTTATAGCTTGGTTGTTCTCTTTTATATTACTAATCTTACAAAACTTTATCAAAATACTGTATAAAATATATATAAATTACTTTAATATGTAGAAATAATAAGCATTCGCGCCTTATAAATTATTTTAGCAATACTTTTATGAAGTAAGTTGCCAATAAGCAAATTCTAATATGCTTAAGGAGAAACTAGTTTCTATAAATTTTTATGAGTAGTACAGATTGTTTATTAGCAATCATAGATAAATTAACTTTATATTTTACTAATAATTATTAATACTTTACACCCGACAAACAATTTGTTACTTGTAGCTTTATTTAAATCTTTTGTACCTATTACCATTTATGCTACAGTTTTAAGGCTAAAAATAAATACCCTTTTTCACAAATACGATTCCAATATTTTATTGAATACGTTTTAGCTGTGTTATCTTTGCTTTTCTAGATTGTGTACAATTTTCTGATTGCTGCGTTTTTTTAATTGCGAAATGCTTTTTGGGGAACACGACTCCAAAACGATCCGGTTTCAATTCAATCAATGTTTTAAAAGTCAACACATAGTTGGACTCTATATGAATATTTACATTAATTTCATGCTGCAAGATTTTTGTGAAATACGAGTATAAGAGTTTCAGTTTGGATGGTCAAACACACGTGTTTCAAATATTCATTCTACCAGGAAGGAAATATACAAAAACGCTAATAAAATCTAAGTACTATCTATCTGTCTACCGCTTATGACATTTATTATGATGATTTATGTTCAAATTGTCAGACCAGAAGTATAAAAAAAAATTAGGTCAATTATATGTAACCAATGAAAGGAAATTATAAAGTAATTGTTTTTATTCAAACTTCTTAGTCTAAACTGTTATAAGAACACAATTACCCTATGTGTTATATCAATAGAACATTTTATACAAATTTATACAACAACGTTCAGTGATTTTTAATCGGTACCAAATACAAGCTAACAAAATTCTCTTTTCTATTCTTTCATTGTTATTATAACGTAATATTTTTATAATATACACGAATTAATATTAGATAAATATTTTATATTTTGTATTTCAATATTTTATAAAAATATATACAATTCATCTTAACGTGTTGTGAAAATATACAGAAAATCAAATATTTATTGGATCGGACTCAAACGGTTTCCTTAAGGCAAAAGAATTGAATAATACTTGGAGTTGGTGATACTACCTTCGTGTATTTTCCATTTGAATTTTTGAATTATCACAAAATATTTCAATGATATTTTTTAATAAAAAGTGCATTCACCTTGAGTTATTTAATTTCAAATAGTAAAATTATATGAATGATGTTCAAAATATAGAATTGTCTCCCCGATTCAAGTTTTATATAAACGTAATATTTCTTCACATCAAGTGTACAAGCATACTATACTATAAATATTCATATAATAAAGAGGTGAAAAATTGCCAGGATAATTTTTAAATTGAGTGTTTTAACACTCAAATTATTTTTTTTTATTTTTAGTTATAACTCCAAGAAACAGTCATACTTCTATCCCAGCTCTCTGATAAGGCAAAGTCCAGATGAAACATATTTCATATCAAGTCTGCAATGCCCCTGGCTTGATCGACATTTGGCATTAAAGTAACAAACACTCAAACTCCATTTCCACACATAGTGATGGCCATAAAATGAAAAAGGTGAGTCTAGAAAATTTTACTTTTTTCACAGCCCTTTTACCTGATATTGTTAGAGTTAAGTATTCTAAGTTATCTTTCTCGCTCAACCAAGTATAGGTACATGATAATTAATGTTTTTCTGATATAATTTTTAAATATCAGAAATACTATAATAAATTAAATGGCATATAATGATAATATTAACCTAATAAAATTTATGCTACGTCGTATGTATAAATACAGGTTTTCCCATTTACATAAGTCAATTGAGAATAACGTGATAGATAAGCTGCGAAAGTGGAAACTTAGTATAAATCCTATTTTAATAGTTATACTGCAACATTTAAGATGGCATATTGATATTGTAATCGAGTCTGAGTGCTCGATCGGGCAGCTTTATTTATTCTTGCGCGGTTGAAAACAAGTGCTAAAAAATGTTACAAGAAACAAATTGAACTGGAAACATGAGTGTACAGTGATGTGGTTGATCTTATATAATGAAAGTAATAAATATTTATACAATAATAATATTTTATTGTGTATTTAATGTAGATACTATAAAATTTACAAGACGTGATCGGAAACGCCCGTTTTATGATGCATTTCCATGTAGTGATAGTGTCAAAATAAAATCGCATTTCGCGGCAGGATTGGTAGATGGTTATAATATTACAATTGATGAAGAGGTTGTTCCTGGAACACTCATTAAATTAAAATTTGATTCTGAAGCGGCAATCACATTGGTAAGTGTAATAGTAATATTGTTTTGAAAACTAAATAAAACATTCAGAATAAAATCATTGCTTACACGTTCAACAGAACATGAGTAAAATATTTTAATTTAAAGATAATTCAACGAAATGATGTAACCGTATCCGTGATGTTTGTGGCCAAGAACTCGTTTATCAAGTTATATGTACTGCAAATGTAACATCATATTTTATAAAAACAAATAAACATAAAAAAATAATGAATCGTAGGTATAACATCAAGATTTTCCTGTGACTTTAGATGTCTTATTAATATTTTCATTTTTAATAAGTTTAGGGTTTTTATTGTAAAATAATAATTGTAATAACAAATCTTTTTATTTTTGAGTTTACCTGTATTATACTTTTCGAAGTTTGGCTTATTTAAAACTAAGATTTTAGTATATGCATTACTCGTCTGTTTTAGGACAAGGCGTTCGCAAATTTTTATAATAATAAAGATATCATAAATAATATTTATGATATTATAGTGTTTAGATCTAATGAGAGTTTCATCCTAAATGTTAAAGGACAACCTGCTCCATACTCTCCGCCGTACTTGACGAGCTTTAAAATAAATGGCAACGAATTATGTAGCCAGCCTAATTTGGTGAGTGTTCTAAAGTTTGTGCTTTTGTTAGAAAAACATATTTCATAATTTAAATCCCTTGTGACTCGATTTACAAAAAAGGATCCAGTTTGCTTTATAATGGGAATGAAACCATAAATACGGTTGTTTAATATTATTTTATAAGAACATGATTTTTTATTATTTTGACAACTGCATTCCTACGGTTACAAATGGAAATTTCTTCTTATAAAACCCCCAAATAGCTACAGACCTTGACTACAAATACCTGCTAAGAAAATAATAGATTTCCAAACTAACAATCTGATTTGTTTTTCTAAAAACTGTGGCTAAGTATACTGAATTCTCTAAATTTATATATCTTTACAAGTTTTTAACATATCTTCACATTCTTGTTATGATATGCCGTTCCAGACATACTTTGAGGATTATCCGGTAGGAGTTGTCAGACGTCCCAACGTTCCTGATCAATATTGTGGAAGACGTAAAGTCATTCATGTCGAGCTTATAACAAATGGATTTAAAACTAAACCGGGGGAATGGCCCTTCCATGCTGCACTACACCGTCGGGAAAAAACGGGTCTAAGATACACTTGTGGAGGGACATTGATTTCCAAGTTCTTTGTTTTGACAGGTAAAACCAAATGATATTATTAGTATATCAAAAAGTTAAATAAAATATTATTGGAATAGTTAAATATAAACATTTAATTTTAATAACTATTATCAGTGTTTTCTTTTCTAGATATTATTTTCATATTTAATTATGGGCTTTTTTCACTAGTTTGAAGCCTTTCATTTTATTGTTTCATGTGAAATCATTTGACAAAAAAATATAATAAAGAAACAATAAATCTGACAAAACATGAAATTTCACCGATATCATTTTAATACTAAAAGGGCCGGTTGCGTCTGTGAATTTGAATTCCAAATTATTTACGTCTTATTCTCAAGCATCCATTGTGGAGCACATCCCGAATTTTTTTAGAAATGGAAACAAAATGACAAGGCAATAATTAAACTGGAACTACAAACTTTTACAAGTATATAAACTATAAAATTATTGAACGATAATATATCTCATTCCAGCTGCTCATTGCACTACCGTAAGAGGAGTAGCCATTCTACCTGAAATCTTTAGTGTTTTTCTGGGAAAATATAATTTGTTTGGTGGCGATGTGTCGATACAAGAAAAAGAGGTTTGTCTTTCTTAATATCTCATACTTTTAATTTTTTACTACACGTGTTTTCCAGAGTAAAGTGTCACGGAATGCAGTTTAAAAAGGTTTTGCAAGAATCATACATTCTCAACAAAAATAATAATTAATAATGTATTGTTATAATTAGTTATATATACGCAGGTTTACAAGGTGTATGTTCATGACGAATTTACGTACAGGACTTTGGATAATGATATCTCTCTATTGAAATTGAAAACTGAAGCGGTATATGATAATTACGTGCAACCAGCTTGTTTATGGTTTAACAATGTATACGATCAGTTACCTTCACCGCAAATTCTGGGCACGGTAAGAAAGAGTTATTATTTAAAACAAGCATAGTTAAAGTTTTTATTAATTTCTCGTATTTTATTATAATAAATCTTGAAAGCCCTTGCAGAAAAAAAAATGGTAAACCAATAATTTCATTTTATTCATAAAATTTTACTTAAGTCTGAACCTGAACAGTGTGTAAGTACAAACGCAAGTATTAATTTAAAAAAACATTGGTATTTTACCATATAGTTTTTTGTAAAAAATTGATAAATGTGGCCAATAACTATATTTTTTTAATAATCAGAACCAGAATGCTAGCAAGTTTAATTTGTTTTCAGGTACCAGGCTGGGGTTTTGATTTAAATGACGCCTTGTCTCCAACTCTTCACGCAGCCAGCATGCCTTTAGTTTCTGACAGGACTTGTGAACTAACCAACCCTTTATTTTATGTACAAGCTCTACGTAGTGCTAAAAAGTTCTGTGCCGGCTATACAAATGGTATTATATTGTCAGGATTTGGAATGTTTTTCACTTCCTATAGGCCAATTAGGAAACTACTCTGGGATTTCATTGTTTTACCTTTACTCTAATTAACAAAATTTATTTCCTTTCAGGAACCTCTGCATGTAATGGTGATAGTGGAGGTGGGTTTCATGTCTTTGTTCCTGATTTAGCAAAAAGCAATATCTCAGACGTACCCGGAGCTTGGTATATCAGAGGCATTGTGTCCGTCAGCCTTTCGAGAACCGATGCTGCTATTTGTAATCCCAAAGCTTACGTCGTTTTCACCGACGTTGAAAAATATTTAGATTGGATAAAAACTTACGTATATTCATAGCAAGATTTAATAGGAAAAATTAAAGTTATCAAAAATACAATGAAAATGAAAACATTATCAGCTTTGTTGTTTTTTTGTCATTTAAACCGTATTATGAATAAATTATATATTAAACTAAGAGGGACCTTGTCATAGAATTGCTTCCATTATCTTATTCATATAAATATTGATAACCTTTTTGTGTGTGTTCTTGGATAAAAAATATAAATATACAAATGTATGATTTTATACAGACTCAAAATTATCGTAACATAATAATAAGTACAGTCGGATCGCATTTGCTTCAAACATCAAGGTTTAGGTTATGAATCTGGCTAACACTTAAATTGATCTATAATGGTATAAAAAAATAACTTCTAATTACATATCTTTGAATTTTCTTGATAACATTTGTTAGTTTTTAACCTAAGGTTTTCTGTCAATGACCTAGCGTTAGTTGTATTTTCTTATGAATTTGTGAAAATTGAAAAAAATTAAAAACCTCCAAATAGAAAATGATATTGAATGACCGGCGCGATAAAAATTAAACATATTTTTTTATATTTTTAATATTTTTTTTATCAAAGTTATGAAAATCAACTTGTTTGGCAAGTAGTGAATATATGAAATTGGAGTTTTAGGCCTTTCTATGTAGACTTCAAAAATAAACACTTATCAAATCGCAACTCAATAAAAATTGTACGATTGAATCACATGTGTAAGTATGTGTATTAAAGTTAATTATATTATGAATCGATTAAATAAGTATTGTTCTAACACTCATCAAACAATTGGAATATTAACCGCAAACTTGTAGATGCTATATTGTAAATTTTTACTTACGAATGAGACGTTAAAGGGAATGTTTAAAACTGAGCATTATTTTTTGGTTAATAGTACCGTAGCTTAGACTATTTTATACTGGGGAAATTAGTGTTCACTCAAATAATGGGATTTTGTTGTTGAGCTCAAACCCACTATTTATTCCACTACTGATTTCTCCAAGCATTAGCAAAAGCAGGAATAGTCTTATTTTTGCTTATGCTTTTTATCATGACATGAAGCGGATGATTGAACAGGAGCGCATTCACTTGTTTATCATTTATTTGAAAAAAAAGCGATATAAAAATATTAAGACATTATTTTATTTATTCTTCTTGTTGGTTTTCTTGTTAAAACGCTGATATTTTATAAATCTATTAACTCCATTATTAATAGAAATATATAAAAGAAGGAATACTGCAACGTTTTCTCTTTTAACAGTATTGTTTTTTAACAATGATGACGAATCAAAAATGAAATAAAACGTACTAACCAATGAACATTAGGTAACATCACTTCTATTATAAGAACTATTATTTTTATTTGAGTTGACTTTTTTCAATTGGACGCAATTGTGCTTGACTAACATTATATCCGTTGAAAGGTAGGAATGAAGTATTAGGTGGTCAATGCATTTACTGTGGTAAAAACGATTTTATGGGAATATTAATTGCATTTTACGACGAACATGGTTGGGTTTCTTAAACAGACTACAGGAATTTACCAGAATTTAAGATCTGGTGTTTAAATCGTGACTACGGTACGCTTTATTTAAATTAGTTAAACCTATTTCATGAATGTGAATCATGTACTCGTATCTGCAGTACTCTTACAAAGCTACAAAGTCAATTAATTGTTTTTATGGTAAATGAACACTCTGAAGATGGCTCTTAAACTTGAAAGACAAAACAATATGATACTTCAGCACCAAGTCTTCTTATATATTTATTATAAATTCTAATGGATGTGATTTTTTTATATTATTTTATTTACTTTTTCTCTAACGTAGGAATAAAGCTTATAATAAATCCAAATTATGCTCAATAATTTTTTTTACGATCCAGGAACTTTTCATTAGTATTCGTATTGGTTATCGGAAGAAAATTTTACTTTACCATACAAAATAAAACCTCTTTTTTCCCAAAAATATTTCTTCGGCACATCACAAACTTTGTTTACTTTTAACAATTATTTTTCCAATTTAACGCAGCTTACTCATTTATTTAACAGAACATATATATTTTCTCGGTATATCAAGTTTATCTTCACAGCATTGAGTAGTGCTCTTTAGTGAATAGCTGTCATTTCTCTTCGAGGCATCAAATAAGTATTTTCTCGGTTTTGGGTCAAAGAGTCCAGTCAACAATTTATTTGGAAGCTTTGTAGATAGATGGACACATCGGAACTCAAAATAAGCCAACACTACTTTTTTAAGGAATATTAATGGTATTTTTATAATGGCCTAATGATGATGGTTGGATAGCAAAAAACATAAATAGCTAAAGCAAGATTGACCAATAGTAGTCAGAATTGCTGTCCTATAACCCATTAATCTATCGGAGCCATAAATTCAACGAACTTATAGTTCCTAGTTAGTCCATCTTCTTTCTGATATCTTGTTTAGTTCGTATTGATTACATAACACATTACCAAAATAATCTTTACAAACTATATAAATTGCCTATCAAATTAGAGGTCTATTTATTTTACTTCCTTCTGTAGTAATCAGGTAATTGTTAAATATTAAAGTAGTTATGAAATACGGAAGGGTATATAAAATATTACTTACTATATATGTGTATGTATCTTGTTTTGGAATAATGTGTAGGTATAGCTGTTAGTTTGGCCTAGGTAAATTGTCATAAATTTAGAGTATCCTCAACTATCACTTGAAAATGTTGTTACTAGGCGTATTTGTGTGGTCTATAACCAGATTCGAAAACGAATTATAAAAAAGTTATCCCTTTTTTTCTTTACATAGGTATACGTTATGAATATAGATCGCTTTTAATAATAATTTGGTCAAGATAATGCATCTCACAAAGCAAGATTTATATGATAGAATTGCACTATATTGGAATAATCACATTACTCTATATCAATAGCTTTGTGTAGTGGACGCCAATCAACCTATGGATTCTCTACTAATTAATCAATTTTGATTGCTTTTTACTATGACTTAGTGTCTGAATTATTTTCTATTGTAAATGATCAGAAATGGAGTGGCAGAAACTAGCTTTGACTGCTGATTATGAATTTAATATTTATTTATTATACAACCTTTATATAACTAAGAATGAGTTTCTTTAAGGCTGCAACAATTGTTCTATCAAAATATTCATACCTTAAATATTCTCCGCACTTAACTTCTAACAATAAAAAAAGTAACAATATTGAGTTTAATGGACAATAACGTGAAAAAATAGCCAAAATTATAACATTAAAAAGATCTTAGAAAAAGCTAACATAATTAAAACAATCATATTAAAATAATGTTTTACACAATTATATATGCTATATACACTCAAATGAATGCATATTTACAAGAAATATACATATAATGAAAACTTTATAAATTAATAGTTTATTAATATATGTAAATATGTATAATAATGTTATGAATTCAGTTTTGAAAACAACGAAAGTATTTGAGAAACAAAACTAAAATTATTTGAAACTCTAGAAACAATATTAATACTAATATATTTTTATTAACAAGATCAAGACTATTTTATACAAATAAATAAGGTGCGGGAATCAAAATTGAAAATTAAAAGCGAGTTAAGTCTCATGAAATATTAAATAATATTAAATAGGTTTTTAATAAACGTATTAAAATACTGGTTTCCCTCATTTTAGCTTTCAAAACGCCAATTCTAGAGCTTTTTACTCTTAATATATAAATGTTTGATCTCTGAAATAACCAATTTAATTAATTGAAATATACGTTTGTTTTTTTTTACTCTCGAAATATTTATTTTAGATAAATACGTTCATGTCTAATAGTTATGGTTTAAATAACTCGTAATTCATAATTATTCTAAAAACTCTCATAAACTCAATAAAGGCCTGAAACTACATCAGTATTAATATATGTACAACGAAAAATAGAAAGTGACATAATTTATTAATTGTTACAAACGTACGCCTGGGGTAATTGTATTAGCAATATTTTCTAAAACTAATATTGCAAACAAATGTGCCAAGAAATTACGCCTTATAAACAAATCAATATAATTAAGCAATATTCGCGAACTGTTAAAAAAATATTTTACTATAGAAAATTGTTATTAACATTGTTAATAACAATTTTCTATAGTAATAGACAAAACAAGACAATATTAAATTTTCAAATTAATTAACAAACAAGGTCTACAATTTACAGTGAATGTTAGAATATCGACCCTATACAAGTTAAAATTTTTAGGATATAATTTTTGATTAAATTTGATATGAAACTTACCTCCATTATTAAATTATAAGATGATTAATATAAGAATAAAAAATACTCTGCATTTCATATTTTAAACATTTATTTTGGAAATTATATTCCATTTCTTTTCATCGTATGCCTAAAACAATTTACAAATGTGGACAGCAATATTATATAAGTCGTAATGAAAACTAAGATTTTTGCTTAAAAACGTACTAATTAACTATTCTAACCGAAAAGCTCTATTCAAAAGATAGAACAAATGTCTTTGTTTTATATGAAGTACTGATATAGAAATTAAACTATGAAGCGCCTTTAATTAATGTAACGGTTGGGAAATATTAATCAGCGAAAAACAATTCAGCTAAATTTAGTTTGAAAATCGAAAACAATTTCATTATTAGAAACGTAGTTTTGAAGTGGCAAACATATTAAGGGCCTATAAAATCAATTCAGGGAACAGATTTAATTTGATATTTCATATCTAGGTACCTGATTTATTATTTTATATAATGTCTATATTTTTGTTTTTAAATTATAGGTGTTAAAGGTTCAACGGAGCAGATGGTCTATGGATTTGAGAATGTGTTGCCAAATTATAGGTTAATGTAAGAATTAACAAGACTTTAATTTTATGGAAGATATACGTACGTGACTTTGGGATCTCATAAAACTATTTTATACGTCATAAAGCCTGTGTGCTAATCAGGAATATTAGCGATATCTGTGCAAAAATATATCCAAAATGAAAAGGCTTTAATCTAAT